TAAGAGCAGAAGAGGGCCCTAACTGGTTTGGCTCAGTGGATAGAGCGTCGGCCTGCGGATTAAAGGGTCCCAGGTTCGATTCCGGTCAAGGGAATCTACCTTGGTTGCGGGCACATCCCCAGTAGGGGGTGTGCAGGAGGCAGCTGATTGATGTTTCTAACGGACACATATGTAATATTTTAATCAATAAAAAATATATTAAAAAAAAGAAAAAAAAATTAAAGTATTGGTTTCTATATATTAGGGTGTGATACAAGCAAGTGGTTTCCAAATATTAAAGAAACTATTAAAGAAAATTAACGAGGAAAGTGAACAATCCATTTAATGAAGATAAAGTAACCTTTCAGGCATTAATGCCCTTCAAAAACCGTAACTTTCACTAGAAAAATCAGCCTTATATGACTAAGTGGGATTTAGATTTCTGAGTGTCAATTATCTTTCCAATTGTTCTGTACCTTTAAAATAACCTCTAAGAAATAATCTCAGAGCCAACATCCAGTTACCGATTTAAAGTATTTTCCTTTCCTTGGTTATAATAATTTTATGAAAGAATAGTTGAGATTAAATATTGTATTGAAACCAGTCATAATTCACTGCAAAGATAAATAGGAAAAAGAAAAGAAACTTTTGAATGGCATGTTATAATGACCTGGACAAAACTGATTATAAAGTCACAGGGGCTGGGAGGAAGGAAAAATAAGAGATATCGGTAATACTATCAACTATAAAAATATATTTTAAAGAATAGTCACTTGAATCTCATTAAGGACTGCCAATACTAATTTTATTTTTGCATTCTTTATGAATAAAAAGCAACCAATAACCATTTTCCTTTTCCCACTTAGATTCTTAAATCCAACTTCAATGACCATTATTTCAGGAATGACTAAGTTTAAGTACATTGCCTAAAAAGAATAGTTTGTAATCACTTCCTAGATATCTTTGCTTAATCTATTTTATAAACTATCAATTCTTGGAACATCTTAAGTAACCTACCTTTGGAAGGTTTATTCTTTTCATAAAAATGAATACTTGGAAAAGCCATGCAGATGTGATATTTTTAATACTTCCTTAACATAAGGTAAAACAGGCAGGCCACCACTGAAAACATTTTAAATATCCATAGTAATTAGATACACAGGTATGGATCACATTCAGTATTTAGTGTATGACCAAGTTAATTAATAAGTCAAAAAAAATAAAATAAAAAAGACAAACAAACCAAAGTTAAGTTATGAATCAATACATTTTTGAAAAGCTTCTGCTATTTATTTACTTCTGGACAAACAAGTGGGAAGGCCCATCAGAATAAACATAATTGAATTTTAATCACTATCCTTAAAATAGCCTAAGAGTTCTTCAAACACAGACATACTAAATTTGGATGCATTTGTAATAAATAGTTTAACAATTTATGTCTTAGTAGGATCTTTTAGTGGAATGTATTGAAACCAGTCATAATTCACTGCAAAGATAAATATGAAAAAGAAAACAAACTTTTGAATGGCATGTTATAATGACCTGGACAAAACTGATTCTCAACTAGTCATAGCACATGCAACAGATCGAGAAATTAAATTCTCAGCTATATACTTTAAGTATGTTGTCAGACACGAGAAAATGCAAAAGTTTTTACTGATCTCATTCATCTCCGCCCATATTCAATATCATTTAAAACAAAAAAACAGATCTTTTTCTCCAGATATTCATGTTAATCAGTGCAAAGTAAAACAAAGCAATTCAGTAGAAATGGTTTATTACAATATTATTTTAGGAAGGTTTATTTCTCAAATGTACTAAAAAATGTCTAAATCATGAGAATGATCAACCTCAATATCTTCCTCTACATCCAGCTTAGTTTCTCCATGTCCCTCCTGTGATTCATCGAGAGAGGCCAAGGCCTCATTCGTGTCACTTGCAAAAGTTTCTCGTGATGTATCATCATCTTCTTGAAAATTCAGACTTTTAATAGCTTGCTTCATCTTTTTCCCCAGCAGTTGTGTTCTCCTCTTCCTAGCAGCTTTTTTATTTTCATATTCCTTTTGATTTTCAATGTAGAAAATGTCCTATAATAAAGGCACAACTTTAGTAAATAAGAACTACCATGTATTAAAAGTCTATTACAAGGCAGACCCTTTACATTATCTCCATTTCTCACCAAAAAAGGCCATTATTATTAGAATCATAACTGTACACAGAGTCCAAGATGTTAATTAAGTCCCGACTGCAAGAAGAGGATGAAGCTGATTCAAACTCAACCTAGTGTTCGGTCTAGGGCCCATGCGTATTATACCATAACACATCATCTCTAAAGTTTAAGGTTTCTAAATGGCAACATACTATAGGAAAACCATGTTGTTTAGCATTTAAATGAAATATAATTCATCATGACAAAACAGAAATCTTTGGAGTAAAGATTTACTTTGAAACACCATCATAATCATATGCTAAGAAACGGAGCCATTCCTGAATTGTGTCACTAAGTATGATAATGTAACCTACACAATGCAAGAACAATTCTATTGCTTAAAAAAAATGACTGTAATTCACATGTGACAATGTAAGTCTTTGTCAAAAACTGTTATCACAAAGCACAAAAATAACACAGCACTGTAACACATTCCAGGTAGAGTTTCTCAACCTTGACACTACTGACACTTTGAGCTGGGTAATTCTTCGTTGTGGCAGTCTGTTGTATGCATTGTAGAATGTTTAGCAGTACACCTGACTTTGTATTTTCTAAACCAAAAGTTAAAGTACAGCCCAGCTGGTATGGCTCGATGGTTGAGCATTGACCTATGAACCAGGAGGTCACTGTTTTGATTCCTGGTCAGGGCACATGCCCGGGTTGCTGGCTTGACTCCCAGTGGGGAGCATGCAGAATGATTCTCATCATTGATATTTCTATCCTCTCTCCCTTCCTCTCTGAAATAATTTTAAAAATTATATGTCAAGAAAAAAAAAAACAATTCTCAGAGAAGTTAAAAAAAAAAGTACAAGGTCACATACAAAACAAAATCAAATGGAAACAAGGAAAGCAAGCCCACTCAGTTTAGTTCTGCTTCCAAGTTTTGCAGACTATGACTGTTAGCAATATAGCGATTAAAAGAATAATTATAACATCATCATCTGGATGGCATATGAAATTACCTGCAATAAAATTCTATTTGCTTTCAGATTTTTTCCTCTAATAACTAAGGTACTCAATCTGTGCACATACAGAAAATTTGAAAAAACACAGAAAAGTCTTAAAAACCAAAACATTTATAATTCCTCGCAATAGATCAAATCATTGGTAACATTCTGATGTTTTCAATACCCATCTATTGTCCCATGCCTCTTTTTCTTTATAAATTTGTATTTTGCCTCTTTAAAAAATTTAGTATTATTGTACTTTTTTCATTTCCCTAAAATTGCTTCATAAAAATAGAGGCTATAGCATAATCCTTTTATTTTAAATATATATTTTTTTATTGATTTCAGAGAGGAATGAGGAGGGAGAGAGAGATAGAAACACCAATGATGAGAGAGAATCATTGATCAGCTGCCTCCTGCACGGCCCCTACTGGGGATCGAGCCCGCAACCCAGGCATGTGCCCTTAACCAGAATCGAACCCGGGACCTTTCAGTCCGAAGGCCAACGCTCTATCCACTGAGCCAAACCAGCTAGGGCTAGCAAAATCCTTTTAAGAATGTTCCCCATAGCCTGGCCAAGGTGGCTCAATGGTTGTGTCAACCTATGAACCAGGAGATCATGGTTCGATTCCCAGTCCGGGCACATGCCCAGGTTGCAGGTTTGATCCCCAATGGGGGGCATGCAGGAGGCAGCCAATTAATCATTCTCTCTCATCATTGATGTTTCTATCACTCCTTCTCCCTTCCTCTCTGAAATCAAAAAATAAAATAAAAATGAAGTCGACAATCCTCTGTTATTAGATATTCTAAATATTTCTATTGTTATTATAATGAAATGTTTCTGGTAGTTTAACATTAGAAACTAACATTAAAATCCCCTTCTCTACAATGAGTTAAAAGAATTATTTCAAAGACATGTGATTTGGTGAAAACATAGGTTTAAAAAAAGGCATAGGTTTAAAGCCAGTCAGTGTCTGTGTGATCCCAGACATATCATTTTTTTTACTTTTCATTTGCATAACAGGGTAACACCCACTTTGATAGCCTGTGGTAAAGATAAAGCCATGTAAGTATTTGGCCCAATACCAAGCTAAGGATGAATAAATGCTATTTCTTATTTCTTGTTTCTGGAAAGTTTGCCCCAAGTTTTACGTACAGAAATCTTTTCTAGATATTTTATTTAATCCTTTCATAGTCTTATTAAATAAGCAGAGCACATATTAAAGTCCCCACTTTACAGATGAGAAAATGGAGGCAAAGGGAGAATTGTTCAGTCATATAACCACTAAATGGCATATTTAAGATTAAAACCTAGATTTTGAATCTTAGAGAATTCTATTCATCACATCATGCTATTTTTCTTACATTTTGTTATCTAATGAAAACCCAAGAATTTCCTTCTAACTACACAGTATTTGTCAGAGATTATATTGAGGGAGTAGGGAGAACATTAAGGTTTAAACTGTTCTACCACTCCTAAGGAAATTTACAGTGTTACAAATTTATGTTATCAAAGTAACTGTTCCAATAAGGAAGAAAGCAGTTACTGACTAGAGATTTCAAATGTGCAACAACAGTAATTTCAATAACAGATCTTTAAAAAGTGACTCAGAAGTGAACAGGCAGAAAACCTCAGGAAAAAAAACAACATGGAACATGCAAAATATGCTCACATCAGCTCAAGAAAAATGGCTATTTATTCATCATTGACTTTATAATTAGTATGGCTACAACATATTCCTATTTTATTACCCACTGTAGTAATAAAGAGACGACAACACTTCTCAAATATAGCAGGCATGGCTCGGCTGGCATGGCTCAGTGGTTGAGCGTCAACCTATGAACCAGGAGGTCACTGTTCATTCCCAATCAGGGAATATGCCCAGGTTGTGGGCTTGTTCCCCAGGGTGTGACATGCTGGAGGAAGCCGATCAATGATTCTCTCATCATTGAAGTTTCTCTCTCTTGCCCTCTCCCTTCCTCTCTGAAATCAATTATATATACCGTATTTGCCGGCG